ACACTGTGTATGCCAGTAATGTTCTTAAATCTCTCGAACCAGCCTTTGCTGGCCTTAAATTCACTCACATCACCACTAGTTGCAGGCAATTTCTTTACCAAATCGCCATGCAACTGCCTAGCCTTTTCACAAATAATCAAAGTCATAAGAGTATCTCCTGCTAATTGTTTCTCATTTATCCACACCAATAATAACTTCTCAACCTCTTTGAGTACTGGTGATCTCATTTTTGTCAGTATAGTTAGTAGGTTGGTAGACGGCAACCACCCAGGGAGGTACTACCGTCCTGCCAAGTGAGTGTAAAATGAAAGCCTGTGATTGTTTTACATGATGGTAGGATTGCTGATGTCTTTTGTCTGTCTCATAAATATGCAAGATTACAGGTATGTCTTGCTACTTCTACTTACACTTAGGTCACACTACACATACATGTACACATTTATTTATACACACTCATCTGAGTTTTCTTTGATTTTATCTTAATAGTTCTTGGTCTTATTACTTTTCCTTTTATATCCATGGGGAAGTGGAATAAGAATCTTTCCTCCGTAAGCCATGTGTGTTGTAAAAGTCAACTAAAATGCCGGGAACAATGGGTTAGTAACCCCTTTTCCTGTAAAGATTACTAAAAAGAATAAGAAGAAGAAAATTGTCAAAGTGGGAAGTGTGAATGTGCGTGGATGTTGTGCAGATGATAAGAAAGAGATGATTGTGGATGTTATGAATGAGAAGAAGCTGGATGTCCTGGCTTTAAGTGAAACAAAGCTGAAGGGGGTGGGAGAGTTTCAGTGGAGAGGAATAAATGGGATTAGGTCAGGGGTTTCAAATAGAGTTAGTGCTAAAGAAGGAGTAGCAATAATGTTGAAGGATAAGCTATGGCAGGAAAAGAGGGACCATAAATGTATTAATTCAAGGATTATGTGGAGTAAAATAAAGATTGGATGTGAAAAGTGGGTTATAATAAGCGTGTATGCACCTGGAGAAGAGAGAAGTGTAGAGGAGAGAGAGAGATTTTGGGAAATGTTGAGTGAATGCGTGGGGAGTTTTGAATCAAGTGTGAGAGTAATGGTGGTTGGGGATTTCAATGCTAAAGTGGGTAAAAATGTTATGGAGGGAGTAGTAGGTAAATTTGGGGTGCCAGGGTAAATGTAAATGGGGAGCCTTTAATTGAGCTATGTGTAGAAAGAGATTTGGTAATAAGTAATACATATTTTATGAAAAAGAGGATAAATAAATATACAAGGTATGATGTAGCACGTAATGAAAGTAGTTTATTAGATTATGTATTGGTGGATAAAAGGTTGATGGGTGGGCTCCAGGATGTACATGTTTATAGAGGGGCAACTGATACATCGGATCATTATGTAGTTGTAGCTACAGTTAGAGTAAGAGGTAGATGGGAAAAGAGGAAGGTGGCAACAACAAGTAAGAGGGAGGTGGAAGTGTATAAACTAAGGGAGGAGGAAGTTCGGGTGAGATATAAGCGACTATTGGCAGAAAGGTGGGCTAGTGCAAAGATGAGTAGTGGGGGGTTGAAGAGGGTTGGAATAGTTTTAAAAATGCGTATTAGAATGTGGGGCAGAAGTTTGTGGTTATAGGAGGGTGGGGGCAGGAGGAAAGAGGAGTGATTGGTGGAATGATGAAGTAAAGGGTGTGATAAAAGAGAAAAAGGTAGCTTATGAGAGGTTTATACAAAGCAGAAGTGTTATAAGAAGAGCAGAGTACATGGAGAGTAAAAGAAAGGTAAAGAAAGTGGTGAGAGAGTGCAAAAGGAGAGCAGATGAGAGAGTGGGAGAGGCACTGTCAAGAAATTTTAATGAAAATAAGAAAAAATTTTGGAGTGAGTTAAACAAGTTAAGAAAGCCTAGGGAAAGTATGGATTTGTCAGTTAAAAACAGAGTAGGGGAGTTAGTAGATGGGGAGATGGAGGTATAAGGTAGATGGCGAGAATATTTTGAGGAACTTTTAAATGTTAAGGAAGAAAGAGAGGCAGTAATTTCATGCACTGGTCAGGGAGGTATACCATCTTCTAGGAGTGAAGAAGAGCAGAATTTAAGTGTGGGGGAGGTGCATGAGGCATTACGTAAAATGAAAGGGGGTAAAGCAGCTGGAACTGATGGGATCATGACAGAAATGTTAAAAGCAGGGGGGGATATAGTGTTGGAGTGGTTGGTACTTTTGTTTAATAAATGTATGAAAGAGGGGAAGGTACCTAGGGATTGGCAGAGAGCATGTATAGTCCCTTTATATAAAGGGAAAGGGGACAAAAGAGACTGCAAAAATTATAGAGGAATAAGTTTACTGAGTATACCAGGAAAAGTGTACGGTAGGGTTATAATTGAAAGAATTAGAGGCAAGACAGAATGTAGGATTGCGGATGAGCAAGGAGGTTTCAGAGTGGGTAGGGGATGTGTAGATCAAGTGTTTACATTAAAGCATATATATGAACAGTATTTAGATAAAGGTAGGGAAGTTTTTATTGCATTTATGGATTTAGAAAAGGCATATGATAGAGTGGATAGAGGAGCAATGTGGCAGATGTTGCAAGTATATGGAATAGGTGGTAAGTTATTAAATGCTGTAAAGAGCTTTTATGAGGATAGTGAGGCTCAGGTTAGGGTGTGTAGAAGAGAGGGAGACTACTTCCCGGTAAAAGTAGGTCTTAGACAGGGATGTGTAATGTCACCATGGTTGTTTAATATATTTACAGATGGGGTTGTAAAGGAAGTTAAATGCTAGGGTGTTCGGGAGAGGGGTGGGATTAAATTTGGGGAATCAAATTCAAAATGGGAATTGACACAGTTACTTTTTGCTTATGATACTGTGCTTATGGGAGATTCTAAAGAAAAATTGCAAAGGTTAGTGGATGAGTTTGGGAATGTGTGTAAAGGTAGAAAGTTGAAAGTAAACATAGAAAAGAGTAAGGTGATGAGGGTGTCAAATGATTTAGATAAAGAAAAATGGATATCAAATTGGGGAGGAGGAGTATGGAAGAAGTGAATGTTTTTTAGATACTTGGGAGTTGACGTGTCGCCGGATGGATTTATGAAGGATGAGGTTAATCATAGAAGTCAAAAAACGTTATCTATGGAGGCAAAGAAGGGAATGTATGAAAGTATAGTAGTACCAACACTCTTATATGGGTGTGAAGCTTGGGTGGTAAATGCAGCAGCGAGGAGACGGTTGGAGGCAGTGGAGATGTCCTGTTTAAGGGCAATGTGTGGTGTAAATATTATGCAGAAAATTCGGAGTGTGGAAATTAGGAAAAAGGTGTGGAGTTAATAAAAGTATTAGTCAGAGGGCAGAAGAGGGGTTGTTGAGGTGGTTTGGTCATTTAGAGAGAATGGATCAAAGTAGAATGACATGGAAAGCATATAAATCTATAGGGGAAGGAAGGCGGGGTAGGGGTCGTCCTCGAAAGGGTTGGAGAGAGGGGGTAAAGGAGGTTTTGTGGGGAAGGGGCTTGGACTTCCAGCAAGCGTGCGCAAGCGTGTTAGATAGGAGTGAATGGAGATGAATGGTACTTGGGACCTGACGATCTGTTGGAGTGTGAGCAGGGTAATATTTAGTGAAGGGATTCAGGGAAACCGGTTATTTTCATATAGTCGGACTTGAGTCCTGGAAATGGGAAGTACAATGCCTGCACTTTAAAGGAGGGGTTTGAGATATTGGCAGTTTGGAGGGATATGTTGTGTATCTTTATATGTGTATGCTTCTAAACTGTTGTATTCTGAGCACCTCTGCAAAAACAGTGATAATGTGCGAGTGTGGTGAAAGTGTTGAATGATGATGAAAGTATTTTCTTTGTGGGGATTTTCTTTCTTATTTTTGGGTCACCCTGCCTCGGTGGGAGACGGCCGACTTGTTAAAAAAAAAAAAAAAAAAAATTACCCCCTTTGCAACAACAGCGTCCTTGATTTTCTTTTTCTTGGCCACTACGGAACATAAGGTTGTGTAGGGTTTCTTATACATCCTGGCCAGTTCGGCCACACTTGTACCACTTTCATAGTGTTCAATGATGGTTTTCTTAAATTCAATCGTATTTCTCACCTTCTTTACCACAGGCTTGGCACTAGGAGTTTTCTTTGGAGCCATGGTAGCTTATTTAGTACTTGCAAGCACTAAAATAAATGGAATATTATGAAATATTTCGCTGGAGCACGTAAGGGGACCTTCGCTCACTGGTAAACAATGCCAGACTGGCTGCCGCCATGGCTCACGCCGTGGGTACACGTCCCGGACGAACTACGACTTGCAAGTCAACCTATGAAAAGCAAGCCCATGTTTATACGAAAATATCCCTATGATTGCCGAAATTTACGACTGCTGAGAACTACGAAAAGCGAGGGACCACTGTATTAGTCAGAGGGCTGAAGAGGGGTTGTTGAGGTGGTTTGGTCATTTATAGAGAATGGATCAAAGTAGAATGACATGGAGAGCGTATAAATCTATAGGGAAAGGAAGGCGGGGTAGGGGTCGTCCTCAAAAAGGTTGGAGGGAGGGGGTAAAGGAGGTTTTGTGGGCGAGGGGCTTGGACTTCCAGCAAGCGTGCGTGAGCGTGTTAGATAGGAGTGAATGGAGACGAATGGTATTTGGGACCTGACGGGCTGTTGGAGTGAGAGCAGGGTAATATTTAGTGAAGGGATTCAGGGAAACCGGTTATTTTTATATAGCCGGACTCGAGTCCTGGAAATGGGAAGTACAATGCCTGCACTTTAAAGGAGGGGTTTGGGATATTGGCAGTTTGGAGAGATATGTTGTGCATCTTAATACGTATATGCTTGTAAACTGTTGTATTCTGAGCACCTCTGCAAAAATAGTGATTATGTGTGAGTGAGGTGAAAGTGTTGAATGATTATGAAAGTATTTTATCTTTGGGGATTTTCTTTTTGGGTCACCCTGCCTCGGTGGGAGATGGCCGACTTGTTAAAAAAAAAAAAATTACAGATGCATGCAGGCATACACACATGTACAAGCATACACTAAGTAACTGAACTCACTTGGCACTTAAAGCTAATAATATCCATGTCAAGATGTTCTTGAAATTCTTCATTATCTTTGAAATTCTTGCTACAAAAAGGGCAGCATTTTGCATCTTTTCGGTTTATATAATGCTCAGTGTAAGCATGATATGCCAACACTTCTCTGTTTTGACAAATTCGCTGGCAAACTTGGCAATTTAACCTAGAATACAAGAAAACACAATTAAAATTTTCAACCCATCAAGTGCTTCATTTAAATTCTGGAAAAAATGCTTTTAACATTTCAAATACTGTATATAGAGACTATAGCATTTGCAAAAAGCCCCCAAATAAGTCGTATTGTTCTGAATGCAGAATCCTACTGGCTACGTTTTAAATGAACATTCTCATGTATCCCTTAAATGACTAACAGCTACTTAATTTTTTTTTAATGCAGTTACAGAACAGAACAGTCTCTATTGAAATCCTGAACACAGTGAACACAGGAAAAAATAAAAATGACATGAATAAAAGAAGTTATGTACACTGTATAAGGTTTACTTTAGTATTTACATACATTTCACAGCTAAGCATCAGAAACTGGTTAGTGTCAAGAATGTATATGTTATTACCTTTTAGTCAAGGGCGTCAGCACATTTCCATAATTGCATTGTGGAACATATGAAAGACGGTGAAATCTAAGATGGCTATGAGTAGAAGGCCAATCCCGTAACTGAATTCCACATATGGTACAGTCTCCGATCATTTCTCCATTATTTTTTTCTTGAGTGGTAGACCACTGCTTCTCTTTTTTATCTTGAACTCCAACACCTAAAAAATATTATTGAAATACAATTTAGCATCAGAAAGCAAGCTTAACATAACCATAAGCCATATTCATTTTCCCCACAAATTTGTAAATGTAAAATTTTTCCATAATTCATCGAAGAACATTTACCAAGGAGAAATCTTTAATTAATTAATGATATCAAATTTGGAAATTAAAATTTATTACCAAGTAATGCCATTATTTAATTTTCTGAAATGAATGAAGCACTTTGAAGAGTGGGTGGAGGAAGAAGAGAGTGTAGTACAAGGATAAAAAAAAAAGAATCACCATGGACTTATGACTGAATTCTGAAAATTAAAATTGTCAATTTTATTACATTTAAGCCATTTTAAAATAAGTTTCAAGTTTACATTATAGTATGTGAACATTTTATAAATGCTCAATTATACAGTAAAGCAATGAGTGTATTTTTCAATCTGAAAAATGACTAATTGCAAATGTTTGACCATTAGAAATATAAATGTTTAAAACACCAATCAATCTGTTTGTATTCAACAAAAGCCTTACTGAGCTCATCTTCAGAAATCTCTTCTTTAATTAACTCCTTATCTGTTTGAAATTCTTCACTTTCATCTTTCTGAATGACAATCTGTAAATGGCCTTCTTCATCTGTGGTGTCATTATCATCATCGTCGTCCTCATCCTGACCACCGTCTGGAGATTTTTCTGAAGAATCTCCATCATTGCTGGCACATTTCATACGAGCTTTTTCTTCTTTCACTAGTTCCTTCTCAATAGTTGCTAGTTGTTCTTCATCGGCAACATAGTCTTCCCATTTCTGTGGTTTGCGAGACTTTCTTCTCCCTCCTGACATGCCTCACAATTTTATTCTGAAATACGTAAAAGTTTATTTGCTGTATTCATAACATTTACACTTAAAATATGCAATACTGTAACTTTATAGTAAATCAATATTCATGGCAAAATATATAACAACTTATTCACTATTTAAAGTCATAAATAAGAGAATTCTACCAATGATAAAATGTATGAGATAGGACAGATAAAACTTAGAATGTAATGAATGAATTTCTTTTCACATAGTTTTTGTACTTTTTTTTTTGTTACCCAACAGTAGTTACAAAGTAAATTGTATATTCAACAATGTATAATGAATACACCACACAGTATCAACTGCACACTATGTACCATGAATACACCACATAGTATCAACTGTGTGGGAATATTTGCAGTTTGAAGTGGTATCTGAACTGTAGCATCAGTGCACCTCTGGCAAGACAATAATGGGGTTAATAATGATGGTGAAAGTGTTTCTTTTTCTGGGTCACCCTACCTCGATGGGAGACGTCCAGTGTTAAAAAACTGTATGTGCACGCATGCAAAACAAGCCATGGAAGGAAGGAAATATTCAGCTCAAGACCTGTCACACTATACTGTGCTTCACCAGGAGCTATGCAATGTTGCAATACCTGCAACTGGTATATTGAGAGAGTTTACTCAGAGGAAAGGTAGCATGAAGACACTGGCCTACTCTGCCTGTTTTGAGGTGGAAAAGGCCAGCATCTACACGCTACTTTTCCTCAAAAAACATTCCCTCAATCTACCTGTTACAGGTCTTGTGATACTGCATAACTCCTGACGAAGCACAAAATAGTGTGAAAGATCCTGAGCTGAAGATTTCCATTCCCCATGGTTTGTCTTGCATTAAAATTGCCTAATTGCAATTGTTTTAAAAAATTTATATACATACACACACACACACACAGCCTCTCCTCACTTAACCCTTAAATGGTCCAAACGTATATATACGTTTTTTCAACATCTGAAAGTATGTAAAAAAAATGTAGATGATCTTTTTTGTTTTACATTTGAAAATGTGTAAAAAAAAATTTTATCTACTTTTTTTTTTTGTTATATTTGAAAAATTGTAAAAAAAAAGTAGATCTACTTTTGTAGCACTATGAATTTGAACGTCGATCTGTTTGGACCATTTAAGGGTTAATGATGTACTCATTTACCGGACTTACAACGGGCTCTTTGACCAGCATTTATACCTAAATGTATATTAGAGCCGATTTCCTCTATTCTGTTTATTTCAATATACAGTACACTACTGTATAAACATTTAAAAATACAGTGGACCCCGCATAACGATGGCATCACATAGCGATTATTTCGCATACCGCTTACTTTAATCGCAAATTTTTTGCCGCGCATACCGATTAAAAACCCGCTCACCGATTTTCGTCCGAAAAACGCGTCCAATGTGCGCCCTCACCCAGCCTCACATGTGCCGCCCGTGCCATTGTTTACCAGCCAGCCTCCGCGCTAACATCCAAGCATACACTCAGAATATTTCGTATTATTACAGTGTTTTCGGTGGTGTTTCTGGAAAATAAGTGACCATGGGCCCCAAGAAAGTTTTTCTAGTGCCAACCGTACACCAATAAGGGTAAGGATACCCATTGAAATGAAGAAAGAGATCATTGATAAGTATGAAAGTGGAGTGCGTATTGCCGACCTAGTCAATTTGTACAAGAAACCCCAATCAACATCGCTACTATTGTGGGCACCAAAAAGACAATCAAGGAAGCTGTTCTTGCCAAAGGTTTAACTGTGTTTTCGAAACAAAGATCGCAAGTGATGGAAGATGTTGAGAGACTCTTATTGGTGTGGAAAAAATGAAAAACAGTTTAGCAGAGATAGCGTCTCTCAAGCGATCATATGTGAAAAGGCTAGGAAGTTGCATGGGGTTTTAATTAAAAAAATGCCTGCAACTAGTGATGATGTGAGTGAATTTAAGGCCAGCAAAGGTTGGTTTGAGAGATTTAAGAAGCGTAGTGGCAACCATAGTGTGATAAGGCATGGTGAGGCTGCCAGTTTTGGACCACAAAGCAGCTGAAAAATATGTGCAGGAATTCAAGGAGTATATAGAAACTGAAGGACTGAAACCTGAACAAGTGTTTAATTGTGATGAAACAGGCCTGTTCTGGAAGAAAATGCCAAGCAGGACCTACATTACTCAGGAGGAAAAGGCACTCCCAGGGCATAAGCCTATGAAAGACAGGCTTACTCTTCTCATGTGTGCCAATGCTACTGGTGATTGCCCAAAATGAAGCCTTTATTAGTGTATCAAATCTGAAACTCCCAGAGCGTTCAGGCAAAAGAATGTCTCAAGGATAATTTGTGTGTGCTGTGGAGGGCAAACAGTAAGGCATGGGTCACTAGGGACTTTTTCTATAACTGGTTACACCATGCATTTCCCCCCAATGTGAAAGATTACCTAACTGAAAAGAAATTAGAACTTAAGTGCCTCCTGTGTTAGAACAATGCCCCTGGTCATCCTACAGACGTGGCAGAGCGACCTTTATGGGGACATGAGCTTAAATTAAGGTGAAGTTTTGCCTCCTAATACCACTCCTCTCCTGCAGCCCATGGCCCAGCAGGTTATTTCCAACTTCAAGAAACGGGTACAAAAAAGCTCTGTTTGAAGGTGCTTTGTAATGACCTCAGGAAACTCAACTGACTCTAAGAGAGTTTTGGAGAGATCACTTTAATATCCTCAATTGTGTAAACCTTATAGGTAAGGCTTGGGAGGAAGTGACTAAGAGGACCTTGAACTCTGCTTGGAAAAAAACTGTGGCCAGAATGTGTAGACAAAAGGGATTTTGAAGGGTTTGAGGCTAACCCTGAGAATCCTGTGCCAGTTGAGGAATCCTTGTGGCATTGGGAAAGTCCTTGGGGTTGGAGGTTAGTGGGGGGGATGTGGGAAGAGTTGGTGGAGGAGGACAATGAAGAACTAACCACTGATGAGCTGATAGATCAACTTCAAGAGCAAGAGGCCAGACCTGGGGAAACTGGTTCAGAGGAGGGGAGAGAGAAATTGAAGAAGTTGCCTACTACAAAGATAAAGGAAATCTGTGCAAAGTGGCTTGAAGTGCAAACCTTCATGGGTGAAAATCACCCTCACACAGCTATTGCAAAGCCGTGTTGGCAACCTGTACACTGACAATTTGGAAACACTTTAGGGAAGTGATAAAGGAACGAGAGGTACAGGCCACTATGGACAGATATCTTGTGCGAAAGAAGTCCAGTGACTCTGAAGCTGGCCCTAGTGGCATTAAAAAAAGAAGGGAAGTAACCCCAGAAAAGGACTTACTACCTCAAGTCCTAATGGAAGGGGATTCCCCTTCTAAACAGTAAGAAGATAATGCTCTCCCCTCCTCCCATCCCATCAATCATCACCAGATCTTCAATAAAAGTAAGTGTCATGTAAGTGTGCATGCCTTTTTCAGTTTGTGTGTATTAAAATTAATATTTCATGTGGTAAAAAAAAATTTTTTTTCATACTTTTGGGTGTCTTGCACGGATTAATTTTATTTCCATTATTTCTTATGGGGAAAATTCATTCACATAACGATTATTTCGCATAACAATTACCCCTCTTGCACGGATTAAAATCGTTAACCGGGGGTCCACTGTATACCAGAAATGTTATAAATGGTGCAAAGGTGACATTAAAACAATATCAAAGATGGCTGACATAAACCCACTACCATTATAGTATGCTCCTCACTTAGCGACGAATTCGTTAATGTGGTCTTAGGAACGACACTCCATCGTTAAGTGAGGAGAGGCTGTATATGTGTATGTCTCTCGTGCCGAATAGGTAAAATTTACGATTTTGGCTTAAACAGCAATGCTCTTCTTGCTGAATAAGACAAGCAAAACTTTGTGTATGCAATAATTTCGCAAAAATCATTCTGAACGTAACGAAAAAATGTATTTCATTGTGTTTGTTTATTATAAAATTAAGTACTGTAACCTTATCTAAAATATATTTAGTTCGATTAGGCTAAATTAAACTGCGCCTGTTACAATAGTGTTAGGTAAGTTTTCCAAGGTGCTTTTGGTATAAAATTATTAATTTTTACATTAACATAAGCCCTTGTGGCTTAGCGCTTTTTTGATTATAATAATAATACATTAACATAAATGAGAAAAATATATCTTTAAACATATAAGAGAAAATTTTAGAAAGGACTTAATTTTAAATGAGTTCTTGCTAACTGGCCAATTTTACCTATTCAGCATAACATTATACATATATATATATAGCTCCCACGACACCGAAGGTCCTCGGATGGCGATAAAACAGCTAGCTCTGCTGGCTGTGCCATCTTTGTAGGATTGGGTGGTCCTATGGGTTAACCTGGAGTTTACCTGGAGAGAGTTTCGGGGGTCAACGCCCCCGCGGCCCGGTCTGTGACCAGGCCTCCTGGTGGATCAGCGCCTGATCAACCAGGCTGTTGCTGCTGGCTGCACGCAAACCAACATACGAGCCACAGCCCGGCTGATCAGGAACTGACTAAGGCATCATGTGGTTCAAGCTCACCGTGAGGTGGGCCAGTACAACATGGGTTCGAGTCCTTGGCTAGTGCAGTATTCTCATTGATCAATACCAGTCGTTCGTGGTTACAATTACATACATCTAAATATATATACACATACACACATATACAAACATACATAATTATATTCATGGAGGGGCTCTTAAGCTCTGAGGTTGAAGAGTTTGTTCAGGCTTTATACAAAAGTTTTATATAGCAAATTATGTATAAGTGAACCTAGAATAACTCAATAAAGTTAAAGCGACTTATTTCCACTGAGATCCTTATGTTTTAATCACTGTACATGGTTTTTCTTTTACAAAGGAATATAGAAATGCAGTCCTGTCCTCTGCCCTTAGTGATGTTAATAAAGGTAAGTCAACAGAGAAATTGGAGGCAATCAAATTCGAGCCTTGGAAGAGGTTAGCTCCAGTTTCTTGGACCAAGAGGCATCCCAGGAAGCCACACAATGCAATGGAGATACTACATTAATTACTGTTCGATTATACTTGTGTTCTAACATCTATGTTCTAAAAACTGGTACAAAAAAAGTCGTACATTGTGGAAGATTTAAATAAAAAGGTACTTATTTTACAAGGACTCTAATGGAAATAAGTCACTTACGACTATTTTTAGGATTATTCTAAGTAATTTGCACACACGATATTTTGTAAGCCAACCTCAAAACCCCCAAAAATAAGTAACTGTACTTAAATAAACTTAGTTAAAAAAGTTACCTGGGCTGGGTCAAGCACAAGGTTACACTTCAACACACACACACTGCCTTACATGAATTATAATGGCAAAAAAAAACTACAAGAAGTTTCAGAATTACAAGCCAGACAATTAACACCGTCACATAAGTGACAAGGAGAGTAAAGGAGAGAAGTTAAGACGAGTGTTAGAGATGATCACCTGGAGTCAGCGTCCTCCTGGTTATGTTTATCTCCTCACTGACCTCACATTATAACACCTCTCAAAACAATCTTTTTCTTCTATATTAAATTGGCTTTTTATATATAATTTGAGCACGATTTTATTTATATATGTGTATATATTTTTTTGATGCGTAGTATATCCATCTGATCATTTTAATTTACTGTTAATATGAGGGAAATAATGACTGTGTTCGTATACTAACGCACAGGAAAAAAAAAAAAGTGGCGGCAAATTTTGATTTTGGGTAGGACTACTTCGAGTAGGACTTGTATGGTGATGGTGGTGTGTGGACGGCTACTTCTGCCCTTGTCTTGAGCATCAATGATGATTTTTTCTTCCTGTTTTCTTCCTCTGGGAACTTTATCCTCACCACACAGTCCACTGCTGGCCAGCTGCTCAGGCCATCATACATTACCTCTCAGTCCTGGGTAAACCTGGGGTTTTTCACTCAGGTGGGCAAGCTGCAAAGTAATCATTTAACTGTAGTTCAAGGGGGTTAAGATAAGATTTTCTTCGGATTTTTAACTCCGGAGGGTTAGCCACCTAGGATAGCCCAAGAAAGTCAGTGCGTCATCGAGGACTGTCTAACTTATTTCCATTGGGGTCCTTAATCTTGTCCCCCAGGATGCGACCCACACCAGTCGACTAACACCCAGGTACCTATTTGCTGCTAGGTGAACAGGACAACAGGTGTAAGGAAACGCGTCGAAATGTTTCCACCCGCCAAGAATCGAACCCGGGCCTTCAGTGTGTGAAGCGAGAGCCTTAGCCACCAGGTCGAGTTTCAGCTCCTGGACCCACCTCTCCACTGGCCGCTACTGGATTCACTCCTGCCTACTTTAACCCTATCATACCTATTAGTAAGTTCTTTGAACTATATATATATGGATCCCTCCTCTCTCTCTCTCTCTATGTACCTCTGTAATCTTTTGACTACCGCCCACAGGATGGGTATGGGGTGCATAATAAACATATTAAACTAACTAACTCTCTCTCTCTGCCGGGGTTTAGGCAAGGGTGCGTCGACCTGGCCTAGTTGGGAACTTTCTTTTCTCGTTTCTCTTTCCGGAGGAAACTTTGTTTCCCTTACAATTCCTGTTCAAATTTAGGAAACATTGTTTCCGCAGTCTCCATGGAAGTAAGGCTCAATAAGGCATAAGTTTTAGTGGCCCTTAACCCCAACAACAAGAATTATTAATTCTAGTTAGTCTTTATTTAAGATAAGATTTTGAACGTAAATTCATTTTTTACGAAGGTTTTATATATATCTAATGTAGAAATTAGTCTAAGATATGTTCGATAAAGTTCAACAGTGTACTCACCTAATTGTGGTTGCAGGGGTCGAGACTCAGCTCCTGGCCCCGCCTCTTCACTGATCGCTACTAGGTCCTCTCTCTCTCTCTCTGCTTCCTGAGCTTTGTCATACCTCGTCTTAAAGCTATGTATGGTTCCTGCCTCCATACATCACTTGCTAGACTATTCCACTTCCTGACGACTGTTTGACTGAAGAAATACTTCCTAACATCCCTGTGATTCGTCTGAGTCTTCAGCTTCCGATTGTGACCCCTTGTTTCTGTGTCCCCTCTCTGGAACATCCTGTCTCTGTCCACCTTGTCTATTCCACGCATTATTTTGTATGTTGTTATCATGTCTCCCCTGTTAGACACATTTCCTTACAACTGCTGGCCCTATTCACTTAGCAATAAGTAGGTACCGGGGTTAATCGGCTGTTGTGGGTCGCATCGTGAGGGACAAGATTAACCTAAGCTGCGTAAGTAAGGAGTGTCTATATAGCATGCCAATGTCAGTTAGGTCTATAGAAAAAAATTATCATTAGTTACACAGTAACCGTTATATAGTTACTCTGTTATGTAACTAGGCGTAGACCCAGTTGTGGCTACAGGGATCAAATCTCGGCTCCTGATCGCACTTTATATTTAGTCACAAATGATCATCATATCCCCGACCCCAAGGACCCTATCATACCTACTCCTAAAACTTGCAGCCACTACTTCTTCAACCAGATCATTCCCTTTTCTAACCATTTCAGACAAAGGAAGTGCTTCATAACATCCGTGACATTTAACTCTTTCACTTCCATATATGCCTCGAGTAATAATTTATAGAATTTTTAAAGAACACCTATTGAACGAAGCAGGCATATATCCTGCTTCCTGACGAACTGAACTCCACCACAAGCTGGAGACCTGGAGTTTACCTGGAGAGAGTTCCGGGGGTCAACGCCCCCGCGGCCCGGTCTGTGACCATGCCTCCTGGTGGATCAGAGCCTGATCAACCAGGCTGTTGCTGCTGGCTGCACGCAAACCAACGTACGAGCCACAGCCCGGCTGGTCAGGAACCGACTTTAGGTGCTTGTCCAGATCCAGCTTGAAGACTGCCAGGGGTCTGTTGGTAATCCCCCTTATGTATGCTGGGAGGCAGTTGAACAGTCTCGGGCCCCTGACACTTATTGTATGGTCTCTTAACGTGCTAGTGACACCCCTGCTTTTCATTGGGGGAATGTTGCATCGTCTGCCAAGTCTTTTGCTTTCGTAGTGAGTGATTTTCGTGTGCAAGTTCGGTACTAGTCCCTCTAGGATTTTCCAGGTGTATATAATCATGCATATCTCCCGCCTGCGTTCCAGGGAATACAGTTTTAGGAACCTCAAGCGCTCCCAGTAATTGAGGTGTTTTATCTCCGTTTTGCGCGCCGTGAAGGTTCTCTGTACATTTTCTAGGTCAGCAATTTCACCTGCCTTGAAAGGTGCTGTCAGTGTGCAGTAATATTCCAGCCTAGATAGGACAAGTGACCTGAAGAGTGTCATCATGGGCTTGGCCTCCCTAGTTTTGAAGGTTCTCATTATCCATCCTGTCATTTTTCCAGCATCGATGCGATTGATACAATGTTATGGTCCTTGAAGGTGAGATCCTCCGACATGATCACTCCCAGGACTTTGACGTTGGTGTTTCGCTCTATTTTGTGGCCAGAATTTGTTTTGTACTCTGATGAAGATTTAATTTCCTCGTGCTTACCATATCTGAGTAATTGAAATTTCTCATCGTTGAACTTCATACTGTTTTCTGCTAGCCCACTGAAAGATTCGGTTGATGTCCGCCTGGAGCCTTGCAGTGTCTGCAATGGAAGACATTGTCATGCAGATTCGGGTGTCATCTGCAAAGGAAGACACGGTGCTGTGGCTGACATCCTTGTCTATGTCGGATTTGAGGATGAGGAACAAGATGGGAGCGAGGTACTGTGCCTTGTGGAACAGAGCTTTTCACCGTAGCTGCCTCGGACTTTACTCTGTTGACGACTACTCTCTGTGTTCTGTTAGTGAGGAAATTATAGATCCATCGACCGACTTTTCCTGTTATTCCTTTAGCATGCATTTTGTGCGCTATTACGCCATGGTCACACTTGTCGAAGGCTTTTGCAAAGTCTGTATATATTACATCTGCATTCTTTTTGTCTTCTAGTGCATCTAGGACCTTGTCGTAGTGATCCAATAGTTGAGACAGACAGGAGCGACCTGTTCTAAACCCATGTTGCCCTGGGTTGTGTAACTGATGGGTTTCTAGATGGAGAAAGGTAAAAAAAAGTTATTTTTGTTAATATTATTAAGGGAACTGTATTGCAGCTCTGAAATGACATTCTGGTGTATGACAAATACATGCAGTTGTATATGTCTTGTAAGTGTACTTGTTTTTATTTATGTTTAATATCAATGTAGTTGGTATGCGTTATGTGCCTAAAGGAGACAATATGACGTCCCATTGTTTGATTTTACTGGGTTATCCTAAGTTAAATACACAAAATATACCACTGTTGCGTGTCTGTAAAACATTTGTAGTGTGGAAAATTGCATTTAGCTGAATGTATCATTATATACATAACAGTAAATGAACAAAGATAATTATTATTTATGAGTTAGACAAGTAGGAATTTGGGACACCTAGGTCCAAAAATGTTCCCCTTCGGTACCTACCACTGTCATATCCACAAGTTGCTCTGGACCTATTAATTATAAATAAAAGATATATCACCAGGAATGCTGGTAAATATATAAATTTGTGGACTGTATATTAAATTAAAATGATTATATATAAACACATTTACATAACAGAAGGAAAATATCTTAATCATAACACTCACCAATTTGACTGGAGATTAATGTGTCATGTACAGGACTCCCCCCCACCCCTTTTGCCTACATTTATGAAGAATTTACTGGCCAGAAATTAAACATAATTTAGACAGCTTATCTGAGGTTCCTGGAGTTGTCCGTCCTGTTTCCGTTTCAATTAGAGGAAGCACCCTCCAACAATTTACAGGGGGAACAAACAAACCCATACATTTTCAGGGGAAAACACCATCTGAAGTACCTTTTTAAAATTTTTGGACCACTATAGTCTAAAAAAAATTTACATAAAATTTTTTTTTCACTAATTGTACACGCCCCCTTTGGCAATGGTGGAGGACCGGGGGACATATAGGTTTCCTGGCACCCCAACACAGCGACATATTACACAAGATTTAATCACCCTTTTTTTACACTTTGCCGTCCGGTGGAACCCAAAAAATTTTTTCCCAAATACAATTTTGGGTTTTCTTGTACCCCCCATGCTTTAAACTTTTTTTATGGCTTTTAAAAAATTTAAATTTTTTTAAATTAAGAGTTTTGGGCATAAAAAAGGGGTTTGTTTAGCAAAAAATCACCCAAAATTCACCCTTTTTTTAACCCTACCTCTGACCTAACCCCCTTTGTTCTCTAAATAAAACCCCCCAATTTCTTTTTATTAGGGAAACCTTTTCACAATTTTTTTTTCCCCATCATCAATTTAATCTCATTTTCCATAGTTTCCCTTTCCTGTACCCTCTTTAACCCAAATATTCAAGAGGATTGAATTCTGGGGGTTTTTTAAGGGAGATTTTCGAGGTTGAAGGTAGAAAACACTTGTTGGATGGTAACATATATTGTCAGACGGAGATTAAAAAAAAGGGAGCCCAGCCTTGCCGTGTTTTTTGTCCTGGATGGTCGGGCCGCCGAGTGGGCCCCGGGGCAGGGGCACGAGCCTACACATGGGGTCCCGTG